TTTTTTGGTTTCCTCTGTCTTTTTCTGGGTGGGAACATAAAATCAACTATGACATACTCAGTGTTGTGAACCTTTAGTCTGAAAAAAAGGTATAGATACGTGGTAGCAATGACCAGCACATTCTTTCTCTCAGATACTTGAAAAGTGATGCCAGTAGCATTTAACAGAGGCTAGACCCTGCCACATGCCCTTAAGGGGATAATTTCATTAAATGTAAAGTGGCAAAGTCGTAGAGATATGGACAACTATATAGAAGCATAAAAGTTTTCATTTTCACATAAGGGTACCTTTCCCTTTCCTACTTTATTTTATTTTGAGAGATGGAGTCTTGCTCTGCTGCCCAGACTGTAGTGCAGTGGTGCTGGTTCACAGCAACATCTGCTTCCTGGGTTCAAGCGATTCTCCTGCCTCAGCTTCCCCAGTAGCTGGGACTATAGGCATGTTGCATCACACCCAGCTAATTTTTGTATTTTTTAGTAGAGATGGGGTTCACTGTATGTTGGCCAGGCTGGTCTCAAACTTCTGACCCTAGGTGATGCGCCTGCCTTGGCATCCCACAGTGCTGGGATTACAGGCGTGAGCCACCTGCCTGGCCTGTTTCCTACTTTAGCTAACTTTTTTGTGTAACTACTATAGGAAGCCTGTGCAAATCAAGCAGGATTTTGGGACAGATGTTTTTTACTACACGATGAGACCGTTGACTTCATCATTGGCCCCAGGTATGCAGTAAGTCAGACAGTAACCAAATACACTTCATTTCTAAGAAAATTCAAATGAAAGAAGATGGCATTTGGAAGACTAAGTTTTGATAGGAACATAATACACTTTGGCAGCAAAAGTTAGTCAGTTGTTGGAACAAGGTACTAGGAGGAATTTTCAATCTTTTTTATTCCTTAGATTTAAAAAATATTCAATTTATTACCTCAGGGTTCAGTATCAAATTAAAATAGATAAATGGAGGCTTTAATAATAGCCAGCTGTCTGGAGTTGTTTTGATTTGGTGTCTCTGGAAAGAGGAAAGATGGATTCGATTACGTGTGGATGTCTCTTTGAGATGGTATGTCAGCAAGTAGAACGCTGTGGTTAGGGTAGTGAGATAAAAGGCGTGTGCACAGGTAATCTACCAGCTTTGGTGGAGTGTTGAAGACTAGACTGATGGAATGAGGAAATGGCCAGCCACTTGAAAGCTGGAGAAAACAGGTAGGCCCCAGAGAGTAAAGAACTTATCTTTACTTTATCTTAACTTATCTTAACTTTATCTAAGAACTTAAAAGTTTTTTGGGTAAGCATATTTGGAATAAAATGGGCAGTGATTCTGTTAATGAACAAAGAAAGTTATTTCAAAAATGAATATGTAGGTAACGTAGTATATTGCTGGCTGTGATAGCATTGTTCTGAGAATAAAATAAATCAGCACATAAATTTGTGTATTAAAAGTAATAACACTTCAGAACAATTTAGTAAAAAATCAAATATTGTATTTCCCTTCAGATGGAATATTGTGTGAGAAAGTGATAACCAGGAAGTACATATATCTAATGGACTGAAAAGAAAAGTAAGTTACTAATACTGAATAATTGAAAGTAGCTGGGGCCAAAGGGCCTGGGGAAAGGCTGAAATACACAAAGAACAAACAATGCTCCTGGTAAAAACTCAAATGTTCTTACTATAATAAGTCACAGAGAAATATTTTTTATTTCATATCTTTGAAGAAAGAATTCCAAATGTTAAACACATCTGATATATATTGGGCTTACTCCAGAGTGATAAGTGTATGATTAAGAAGGGCCATAATCGATTCTCTAAGTAGTGCTGTCCTCTCAAACTGAGATATGCCCTGGGCAAATCCATTTGTGTTTCACCACATAAAGTTAGTCGGGTTGTGTGGACTTCAGTAACAGTTACAGATTTTCAATTTCAGTTCTCCTGAGAAGATTTTTCTTTTAAGTATGAGGTGGCATTGCCACCTGCTGTGCTTAATTTAGCTGTTTGTCAATATAAACAGTTTTGGTTCTATAGCTGTGGGGGTACCTGAAAGGAAGGACTTTATATCCAAATATTTAAAATTATTTGTATACTCTGCCAAAAGAAATGTGAACTGGCATGCCCATTGAGGGATAGGTTTAGAGTGTACTTTTTCTCTATCATATCAGTGTTGCTGGACTTTTTTGGAATTTCCCAGTGGGCAGTGAGTGTTCTGAAGAGTAAGTAGGAGGCATGACAATTTTCAGGCACCTCCCAAAGCAGATCTTTTCAGTGAGAGTTTGCTATTTAATGAGAAGTGTTACAAATTCCCATACCTTCACATATATGCATCTTAAGTATATAAATATGAGATCTTTATAGTCCTAAATTGCTCTTTTAAAAATTATTAAAAATGAAATTCTTGCTTCCCAGCAATGGTCTGGCATTTCATAAAGGAGATTTTTAAAGGATTATTGAGGATCCTTAGCCATTTAAGAAGATAGGAATTGTTTGAGAAACATGGCAGTATGTCAGATAGGAGCAGGTAAACTGTATTCTTCCCTGGGTGTTATATGCAAGAATCTTGAACTATCAATTTTTGCAGTGCATGTAACAGATGGTTTTAAAAATGTTTTTGGGTAAAAATAACTGTACCTACTCAAAGTAACTGTCTAGATGGCTTCCTGGCCTGTAGGTCTCCACATGATCTGGTGTCTGCCAATCTGTCAGATCTCAATGCCCACCACTTTCTCGGTTGCTCCTCCTGTTCCAGTCCCATAGCCTTCTTACTGTTCTTTGAACGCACCTGATTCATTTCCAAACCCAAGGCCTTTTTCTCTTTGCCCTTCCCTTGCTGTACCCGCTTCATGGGAACAGTCTTTTCCCAGCCCTCTACTGGCCTGTTCCCTCCCTTAAGAACTCTTAAGGTCACCTCTTCAAAGGGCTTTCCCTGACGGCCTCATCTAATACAGCCCTTCCCTTAGTTCTGTTTTCTCCTGCTCTGTTTTAGTTGTCTTCATAGTGCTCATCTTTAAATGAAATTATATTTTACATTTGTTTACTTTTAAGTGCCATCTGGCCTGGGGCTTTGTCTCGTTCAGTGAAAGATTCTTGACACCTTCAGCCATTAAGAACCCAATAATTATTTGTTGAATGAACAAATGATTGTCCAGATGTATCATGAAAATACATACCTTATTGGACTGATTGTTCTTTATTTTATAAAATAAAGTTTTAGAAATCTAGAATCCTTATCAAGTCTGCCAAGATGAATTTGTAACCTGTATATTTGTGTTACTTACTTGGTCTTGGAGATATGGAGTGCTAGTCACTCCTCTCCCTCCCTTTCTGGATTCCAGTGGAATAGAAACATGAAATGAGAGTTGAATGGAGATTGGTATATAAGTTTTATAAACTGGGTAAGTGCCTAGCAACTGATAATGCAGGGGTTTTGGAGAAGCTAGATTTCAAACAACTTGGATTCAAGAATGTCCAATGAGCTACCTGCTTTCGGAGTTACTCCCCTCCCTCTCCAGTTGAATGTAGAGTAGGTCTGAGCAGCGAGATCGTTTGGTCTGAGACAAAAACCAGAGAGCCCACTGTCCTTCTCAGCAATCTGTGAGTGGGCCATGAAAGGATAAAATGAAACTATTTCATTCATTCACTGGTAAAGAACATGACATTTTGTCTCATTGGATGTCAGATTCTCACTGGCTAGATGAGCAAGTTCTCCTTTTATGGAGATGATTCAGTAGGCAGATCCAGAGAGAAATAGAAGTGATTGCTCTAATTCCACCCCTCTCAATCAGGAAATAAGCAGTATGACACTTTTCTTTGGAGAAAAGGGGATGGTTGCAATAATGATTATTCTCTGAACAATTGCAGTTGCAATACATATACTGGAATATACCTACAAAGCAAAATAATTTTGACCAGAAGACAGCTATCAACACATGATGCTTCTGAGAGTTCATTGCAATTGTGAGTCATCTAGACATCTGCCAAATGAAATAGTAGGCTCTACTTATACATGTATTTAAGAGAAGAATGCATGTTAATCTTTTATTTATCACCTATCAATAGAAAGGTGTATATTTATGAAAAAACATCATGTTCTAACCTTGATGTGTTTAAAAGCTAATATTCTGACTTCCATTGTAAACTTAGGAACCTTTAATGTTTCAGGTTCGTGGGAGTAAGGGAGAAGTTTTGTACATTTTGGATGCTACCAACCCACGGCACTCCAATTGGCTTCGCTTCGTTCATGAGGCACCATCTCAGGAGCAGAAGAACTTGGCTGCCATTCAAGTGAGCTTATTTGCTTCTTATTTGTACTATGCACTGTGAGAGGGGATGAATTAATATATAACCATTACTCCCTGTTTTAGATTTATTTCCAAATGACCTGCTTCAAATGACAGTAACTAACTCATAAAAGCAGAGAAATCTCATCTAGTCAGCATATGTAGGAAAGGGCAAGCCTAGCTATAAACTAACATCAGGGCACTCACTTTATGAGAATTCCTGAGGGAATGAATTACATAGTCTGATATTGTCACTGGCAGATCTTGCTTTCAGGTACTTTTATTTCATTCAGTGAATGTTTGATAGTATTATTTGTTTGACAGTTTTTTGGTTCATAATACTGTACCTTGTGTTATTCTTTGGGAAAGGCTTTATGGAGAAGGTTTACTTGGGGATATTCCCCATGACTAGGCTTTGAGCTTGTTGCAGGTGGTGTTTTAGGGTTTCCCAGAGAAACCGAGGTGCAGCAGCTCACATCTGTGATCTCAACATTTCGAGAGGCTAAGGAGGGAGGATCACTTGATCCCAGAAAGTCAGGGATGCAGTGAACCATGATGATGCCATTGCACTACAGCCTGGGCAACAGAGCAAGACTATGGCTCCAAAAAAAGGTGGATATATATCCTTATATTCCTTTTTTAATATAAAAAAGATATATACATATATATATGGTTGTATGTGTGTATATATTTGTATGTGTGTGTATATATGTGTCTATGTGCATGTATATATGTGTGTGTGTATATTTATGTGCATGTGTGTATATACATATGTGTGTATATATATATATATATATATATATATATATATATATATATATAAAGGGGATTAGCTCACATGATTATGGGAGCTGGTAAATTTAAAATCTGCATTGCTAATGTACCAGTTTAAGTCCAATGGCCAGAAGCTGCAGTAGAACCAGGAAGAGCTGATATCCTTCTTGGAAACCCATAAGGCAGGAAGAGCCAGTATTCTAGGTTGCACACTGTTAGGAGAATTCTCTCTTACTCTAGGGTAGGTCAGCCTTTTGTTTCATTCAGGACTCAGTATGACTGGTTGAGGCCCACCCGCATTATAGAGGGCAGTATACTTTATCCAAGTGTCCTGATTTAAATGTTAATCTTTTCCAAAAACACCCTTACAGAAACACCCAGAATAATGTTTGACCAACTGTCTGGCACCCTGTAGCCTAGTCAAATTAGCATATAAAATTAACTATCACTGGTGGGAATCGTGTTTTATTGAATTCAATTTCCCAGGATGCTAGCATACTGCTGGACAAAACATTAGGTCCTGATACAAAGTATGCATTGAAGTTAGGTGATCCCTCAATGGAAATTAAGGCAAGAAGAGAAAATGATGCAGTTTTTAGAGGAACCCTACAGTTATAACACATTGATCTGATGACCAAAAGAGTAAGGAAATGTTAAATTCTGGCAGAGAATTTACTGATTATGTGTAAAAGCTCATCTTCCTGGATTCTAAACTGCAGAAAAGGAAGTCAGGCTCTGGTTGGCAAAAGTAAGAGGGGAAGGGAAAAGAATAAGAAATGAACAGTATTTGAGAATCTACCATGTGCACTGTTCAAGAAGCTTCATGTACCTGTGGTCATTTATTCATAGAAATTATGATAGTTTGACAATTTGTTGAAATTACACTGATTTCATTCAATTCTCAGTATAAAATCAACAGCAAGAAGGAAAATTCATAGAATCAAGTTTTCAAGTAACTAGAAAACAGTCATCTTGACTATTTAATTTCTTAACGTCATCTAACCAATGTTTTTCAGTACAAAGAAGTATTAGATAATCAATATGATTAATGTCCCTTTTTGTATGAATGCATGAGAGATGACTCTTATCAAACAGCTGAGGTGAGATGGAAAATAGGACCTCTGACAGCCAGATATATTCAAGCCACATTTCTGATTATTCATGATGGGCATTGATCCAACCACAAGTTTAAACTGATCTTATTTTTTTAATTAACATGTAGATGTTATTTTTTTCTATGTATTTATATATTTTTAATGGCTTTCTGAGGCAAACTCATCTCATGGGAACATCATTTATGTCAATCTTTTAATTTGCAGACTCAGTTTGTTTCTTTGTAAATGTTAGCCAATCCATTGTTTTGGTAGGTTCTCCATCATTGTGATTGTGGAGAATATTCTTTATGCTAGATTTTTTTTTTCTTTTTCTATGTAACTAATGATTTTAAGCCTTCCCCAAATTCCTTCCATTTGAGAAATGTCTTCCTATTGTCTGCTATTTCTGTAGAATCAGTAGGTCTCTTTCTTTGCCTAAACTTTCAAAGTGTTATGAGTTTCGTCTTATATTCCCTTAGATAAACATTGCTTAGGAGTTCCCCTTAATTAAATATTTTCCTTGTGATGATCCCTTTAGTTAATGGAAAACAATGTCAGTAAGTGTTTATACCTTGATCTTTCACCATTTTCAGTAATCACATTGTCTAAGACTGACAGTTTTTATGTTCATTTAGTACATTCAGTGCAGTACTTTTCTTCCTCTATATCAACTGTGTTTTTTACTTGAAAGAAAATATAAATCACAAAAGATGACAGGTACTCCAATAAATTGTTAGTGACTTAACAAGGGGAGTGAGGTGGGATTAGAAAAGGACTCATCTAACTGGAAGGCTCACTGAAATTTTACTCTTGAATTAGAATCTAAGTATGTTCAGAGGCTACTCTGAGAGGCTTTTGGTGCAGAGCAGTGACAGTGGCTTCAATTTCTTTCTTTATTATTATTATTTTTTGAGATAGAGTTGCCCAAGCTGGAGTGCAGTGGCACGATCTTGGCTCTCTGAAACCTTTGCCTCCCGGGTTCAAGTGATTCTCCTGTCTCAGCCTCCTGAGTAGCTGGGATTACAGGCGTGTGCCACCATGCCTGGCTAATTTTTGTATTTTTAGTAGAGATGGGGTTTCACCATGTTGGTCAGGCTGGTCTAGAACTCCTGACTTGTGATCCACCTGCCTTGGCCTACTAAAGTTCTGGAATTACAGGCGTGATCCACTGTGCCTGGACTTTAATTTCTTTTAACACTGTTTTGCACTTTTTTGATGGGGATGCAGTGCACTGCTACCATGTTTTTTGTCATAGATCACAGTAGGGATCTTTGCTAGTTCCTTTGAGGTAAGTCTTTCTTATTTTGAACAGTAGCTGGAGTAGAGGATTGCTGAGGGTTCAAAATCACATCTGAGCTAAGGGCAGAGAGCATAATAGTTGGGTCACATGGCTGAAAGCGATGTCAGCCTTCTAATTGGTTGGAATGATCTCCTGAAGATTGCATTCCAGAAACACTGAGTTGGTAAGAAGATCACAATGTTTCCTGCATAACATTATGAATCACTTGCATTCCAAATTGCATCTGAAATTTGGGGTATTCAGGAAATTTTTTATTTGAGCTGTATATCCCAGGAGTGGAGTAAATGAGAAACATTTGTGACTATGTGGCTTGCTTGGTGGAAAACGTCAATACTTAGTCCAACTTTTTTGGACAAGGGATTATGAAGTTGAGGTCTGTTTTGGCAGAAGATTGGAACTCCTTCTTGGAGACATGATTATATTTCTAGTTTTGCAATTTATTTAATTTTAGAAAATTTGCGTTGGAAATAATAACTTAAGTAGCTGAATTATCAAAGAGGGATCTAGTAAGCAAACAGTTCTTCCCATATGCACACTTTTCAGAATAATCATTTAACTGTCTGTTTAGACTTCTGAAAAGTTTACAACTATGACTAGAAAATTCTAAATGTGAAAGTTGTGGCTTAAAATGAACTAAAATGTTCTTAAGCCCCATAAGAAGTGAGTGATTCTTATTAAATGCTAATTTTGTTGCACTAAAGGAAAACAATGTATATGTAGCTTAAAAATATTTCTGACCTAGTTGGTGTTTTGCAGACTCTTAAAAATTTCTGTCTTTTGATAGAAAATGAATATTTCATACCACTTACAGTTGAAACTATTAATTCTTTGAACATTTCAGAGATGGAGTGCTACAGCTCATATTCTTAAGCACATATTTTCAGGCATGTCTTTTCTGGGACTGTTTGCCATACATGACCAATTTACATAAAAAGGTAAAAACGTTTGGGTCCTCTTGAACTTCATGAGGGGTATCAGGATGTGAAGATGGTATGAATGAGGTGAGAAGTCTCTGGGTATTGAGCTGAGATATTCTCACAGCTCTGCCCCAGTTCTGATGTCAGTTTAGAATCCTCATTACCAGCAGTTATTTTATCACAGATTATTGAACCTCCTTTCTCTGCCTTGCATAAGGATGGACAGTCATAGGCAATGTATCCTGGGGCCAATGTATTCTCTGGTGACACGTGAAATTTAAATATGGAGGGCTGGAAAATCACATGTGGCTCTCTAAAGAGAGAAGCAACTTTGTTTTTCAAGCACAGATAAGACATTCTCCATTGTCACTAAGCTACCAAGATCCACAGGAATAATAAATAATGTTGATAAAGAATTCAGCAGTGCCAACTAAGCAACCAACAAAAAGAAATACCAAAAAGATTTATTATTTACATGTGAAATTATGGTGTTTTCCAGTTCTCTATCTTTCCTATTTCTGTTTTTTTCTACCAGATTTATACAAATGATATTTTTACCATATTTTTAAGAATCTGTCACAAAATGGTAAAGTACAACTGCTAGTGATTTTCTTCAATAATAACCTAAAAAATAACATCTAAATAACTTGCAGATAAATCTTCTAATAGGTTACCTTCCAGTAAGGTACATCTTTGTGTTTTATTAGGGTAAAATTTTAAACTAAAGTAAAAATGCAACCAATTGGTCCTGTGAGATTTTAAATTCCTTCTCTGCTTTGGCCATATGTCAGGGAATTTTATTACTTATCAATATTATTTTCATTAAGTTTGTAGTTTATTGACAGGGCAAATATGTATTTGTAGAAATACCCTTAAGTTATATATAGTGGTAAAGTTGAAATCTGTGTTAATCATTAAA